ACAACCTCTTCGACCTCAGCCACAGCAACTTCTTACTTGACACGTCTCCCAAGGCAAGGGAAATAAAAGCAAAAATGAATTACTGAGACCTCATCAAGATAAACAGCTTCTGCAGAGCAAAGGAAACAATCAACAAAACTAAAGGGCAATGGATGAAATGGAAGAAGATATTTGCAAATGACATGTCGGATAAAGATTTACTATCCAAAATCTACAAAGAACTTACCAAACTCAACACCTGAAAAGCAAAGAATCCAGTGTAGAACTGGGCAGGAGACGTGAGTAGACACTTTTCCAAAGAAGACATCCAGATGGCTAATAGATGCTCAAAATATCATTCGTCATCAGGGAGATACAAAGTAAAACCACAATGAGATACCACTTCACACCCTTCAGAGTGGCTAAAATTAACAACTGAGGCAACAACAGATGTTGGCGAGGATGCGGAGAAGGGAACCCCCTTGCATGTTGGTGGGAATGCAAACTGGTGCAGCCGCGCTGGAAAACAGTGTGGAGATTCCTCCAAAATTTAAAATTAGAATTACCCTAATATTTATGTAAAATAATTTTTTTAAAGTATTTTTTTAATATTTTTTATTTATTTCTAGGAGAGAGAGAGAGACAGTGTGAGCAGGGGAGGGTCAAAGAGAGAGGGAGTCACAGACTGAAACAGGCTCCAGGCTCTGAGCTGGCAGTCAGCACAGAGCCCGACACGGGGCTCGAACCCACGAACCGCGAGATCATGACCCAAGCGAAAGTTGGATGCTTAACCAACTAAGCCACCCAGGCGCCCCTGTGTAAAATAATTTTTTAACGTTTGTTTTAGAGAGAGACAGAGCACGAGCGGGGGAGGAACAGAGACAGAGAGGGAGACACAGCATCGGAAGCAGGCTCCAGGCTCTGAGCTGTCAGCACAGAGCCCACCGCGGGGTTTGAAATCATGAACCGGGAGATCATGACCTGAGCCAAAGTCAGACGCTTAACCGACTCAGCCACGCAGGTGTGCCTGTGAGGTTTCCTTTCTTCGTTTTCACACTTCAGACTTTCATTTTTGCTCAGGTTTGACAGGAGAGCCAGCTGATTCCTGCCCGAAATCATTGTCCTTCGTTTTCCTTTTCTTCCCAGAGAGTCTCTAAGCAGTAGGGCAGCCAGGTCTTAGCCATCTGGCTGCTGCTCACTTCGTCAGCGTTAATTTTCAGCTCTGCCCTTTGTGGATCCTCCAGCACTTCCCCAAATACCCTGGGCCGTACCCTGCTTCTGTGGGTCCTTTAGCCGCCTCCCTCTGTCTGGACCCTCTTCCGACTCACACTCTGGGTAAACTACCCTTCGATTCACCCTATTAGCTTAAGTACATTCCTCTCTTTATTTATTTATTTATTTATTTATTTATTTTAGGAGAGAGAGAGAGACAGCGTGAGCAGGGGAGGGTCAGAGAGAGAGGGAGTCACAGACTGAAACAGGCTCCAGGCTCCAAGCTGGCAGTCAGCACAGAGCCCGACGTGGGGCTCGAACCCACGAACCGCGAGATCGTGACCTAAGCGAAAGTCGGACGCTTAACCGACTAAGCCACCCAGGCGCCCCCATTTCTCTCTTTAGAACGACTTCCCATTTGTGTCCCTTGTTTGTGGCAACTCTCCCTGAAAGGCTCTGATCTGAAGGCGGTCACTGTCATCCCCTTCCTTATTCTCTGACACAGAGCACAGCCCTCAGTGTTCAGGAGGTGCTTATGGAGTAAAGGCTGCACAGGTCTGGGGCAGGAGGCCTGGAAGTCCCCGGTGTGTGCCCCACCTCCCTGACTAAGGGCTCTCTGAAAGAATAGGATAAGAAGGGAAAGGATTTGAGGCCCAGCCTGTCACACGGGGATAAGAGAGGAAGCAAATTACGGTGCTATGTGCACTAGCAAGTTGTGACATGTCTGGATCATTCATTCATTCATTCATTCATGCGTGCATACTACAGGTGAAGCACTGATAGACTCTGGGGACAGAGCTGTGAGCTCGAGTGATGAGGGCCTTCCCTCATGCAGCCCACATCCTGGGGCTGGTGATGGGGGAGGGGCACAGGCAACAAACACGTGGTTGTAACTATAAACGATAACTGCAAATCGAATATATGTGTCACGAAGAAACTAGCATGTGTGCGATGTGATGGAGGCGGAATGGGGGCGACTTCATTTTTGATGGAGAGCAAAGTGTTCTGCAAGAAGGTACCATTTAAGCCAAGACTCGGTTGGCGAGAAGGAGCTACGTTGGCTGAAGTGGGAGAACGTCATAGGCTGCGAAAGCAGAAAGAGCAAAGACCCTAAGGCCCGAATCGGGCTGACAGTTCTGAGGGGCAGGGAGAAAGCCACTGTGGCTCAAGTGCATGAACCAGAGGCAGCGTCAGGAGATGACCCCTGGGACGGACCAGGCCACCCTGCTGGGCTTACAGTTGAGCCTCTTTATTGGGTTTCATTCATTCATTGCAGTGCAAGGGGCTCTAGGCCATGGCGACCAAGTTCAGCCCTGGGATCTTCCACCCACTCGAATGGTAAATACACGATTCCTGCTCTTGTATAGATGACTTCAGGGCTCCTTTGTTAGAAGTGCTTCCAGAATTCTGTGTGGTCAGGACTGTGGTATCAACCTGTGAAAATTCCTTTAGAACTGCATTACACGGGCAAGCTAGGGAGAGAGCCCAAAAGTCCCGACTGATGAATGGATGAGGCAGAGGTGGCGTACATATACAATGGAATAGTACTCAGCCATCCAAAAGAATGAAATCTCGCCATTTGGGAAGGCATGGCTGGAGCTAGAGTGTATTATGCTAAGTGAAGTAAGTCATAGAAAGACAAATACATGATTCCACTCATATGTGGAATTTAAGAAACAAGGCAGATGAACATATGGCGGGTGGAAGAGGGGGGAAATAAGCCATGAGAGGCTGAATGATAGAGAACAAACTGAGGGTTGATGGAGGGAGGTGGTGGGAGGTGGGCTAGATGGGTGATGGGCATTAAGGAGGGCACTTTTTGTGATGAGCACTGGGTGTTGCATGTAAGTGATGAATCACTGGATTATACTCTTGAAATCTGTATTGCGCCATATGTTGATTAACTAGAATTTAAATAAAAATTTGAGAGAAAAGCTGCATTGCAATAGGAAATGTGGTATTTTTATGTAGTTGTGGGATATAAACTTAAAAAAATAACCATCTTGGCCAATGAATGCATGAAAAGATCCTCACCATCACTTGCCATCAGGGGAATGCAAATCAAAACTATGAGAGGGAAGGCTGGGTGGCTCAGTCAGTCGAGCATCGACTTTGGCTTGGGTTGTGATCTCATGGCTTGTAGGTTCAAGCCCCGCGTCCAGCTCTGTGCTGACAGCTCAGACCTTGGAGCCTGCTTCAGATTCTGTGTCCCCCTTTCTTCCCCTCCCTCTCTCAAATATAAATAAACATTAGACGACGGTGAGATATCACCTCACACCTGTCAGAATGGCTAACATCCAGAACACAGGAAACAACAGGTGTTGGCGAGGATGTGGAGAAAAAGGAACGTTCATGTGCTGTTGGTGGGAATGCACATTGTGGCAGCCACTGTGGAAAACAGTATGGAGGTTTTTCAAACAGTTAAAAATAGAACTGCCTTACGATCCAGCAACTGCACTACCGAGTATTTACCTAAGGAACACAAAAACATTAATTCAAAGGGATACATGCACCCTATGTTTATAGCAGCATTATTTACAACAGCCAAGATATGGAAGCAGCCCAAGTGTCCATTGGCTGATGAATAAAGAAGATGGGAAGATGCGGGAATGGGGTGGGGGGCGTTGCCTGGGTGGGGGGGTCAGTTGGTTAAGCATCTGACTTCGTTCAGGTCATGGTCTCAAAGTTAGTGGGTTTCAGCACCACACTGGGCTCTGTTCTGACAGCTCAGAATCTGGAGACTGCTTTAGATTCTTTCTGTCTGTCTGTCTCTCTCTTAAAAATAAATATTTTAAGCAATTTTTAAAAAAGAAAATGTGGTATGCATACATAATGGAATATTACACAGCCATAAAAAGAATGAAATCTTGACATTTGCAGGATGTTTTGGATTAATCTATTTTTTTCCTATCAAGTCGATCATGTGAGTCTTACATTTTTTTTAATTGTGTTTTTTAATGTTTTACTTATTTCTGGGAGAGAGAGAGAAAGAGACAGCGTGAGTAGGGAGGGTCAGAGAGGGAGACACAGAATCTGAAGCAGCTCCAGGCTCGAGCTGTCAGCACAGAGCCCGACGCGGGGCTTGAACCCACGAACCGTGAGATCATGACCTGAGCCGAAGTTGGGGACTTAACCGACTGAACCGCCCAGTTACGAGTCTGTTTTTTAGTTTAACTGTAGAGAATAAACTGATATTACCAGAAGGGAGTTGGGGGGTGGGGTGCGGGGGATAAATGAAATCGGGGACGGGGATTAAGGGGTTAAAGGGGACACTTGCTGTGATGGGTGTTAGGTGATGAATGGAGCCGTTACACACCTGAATCTAATATAACACTGTATGTTGACCAATTGGAATTAAAATAAAAGCCTAAAGTAAAAAAAATATCATCTTTCCTGAAGACGGTTTTATTTATTCACACTTTCCCTATGATTGGGGCATCTAGCCTCACTGAGGAATGTATCTATTTTTAGGGTTGTTTGAGGGGGCTGGTGGAGATTACGAGGCATGGAAAGTCCCCCACAGGGGGCAACCCGGGGCGGCCTCAGGGAGACCGGGAAGCGGTCCTGACAGGTGCACACAAAACGGATAATGAGGATGCAGTTTGGCTCTACCCACTCGGGAAGGGCAGGGGACTCGCCTACAGTGGCTGGGCAGCGGTCTAGTTCGCATGCGCGGGGCGGGGCGGCGCCGGGGGCGGGGCGGCGCCGGGGGCGGGGCGGCGCCGGGGGCGGGGCGGCGCCGGGGGCGGGGCGGCGCCGGGGGCGGGGCGGCGCCGGGGGCGGGGCGGCGCGAGCGGAGCTCCGACCAACCGGTGGTCAGTCCGCGGCGTGGGTGGTGGTCGCGGGTCCCCCTGCCCCGGCCCAGTCCCGGCGCCGCCGCCCGCCCCTCGGTCTCTGAGCAGGTCCGGCCCCGCCGGGAGCGACACCGAGGCCCTGGCGCAACCACCGCCGCCGCCGCCGCCGCCGCCGCGGGCGCCGACCTCGCCAGGGCCGGTGAAGGTGGGCGCCGCCCCCAACCGCCGCCTGGGCGGCGTCCGCGGGGGGCACATGTCTTCGCCGCCGGGGCGCCGGGCCCGCCTGTCGTCCCCCGGGCCCGACCGCGCGTCCTCCGAGGCCCGCGAGGAGCTGCGGCGCCGCCTCCTGGGCCTAATCGAGGGTAACCGAGTGATGATCTTCAGCAAGAGTTACTGTCCGCACAGCACGCGGGTAGGCGGGGCGGGGCGGGGCCGGCGGGTTGGGGGGCCGGGGCCCCGCGGCCGACCCCGCAGGCTCCGCATACCTGTTCTGGGGCCTCGGCCGGGGGTCGTCCTGGCGGCCAGCCTGACGCTGGCTTCTTTATCCCGAGCTGATTGGGAGCGATAAAGGCGCCTCCGAAAAGTGTGGTGTGAGGAGAGGCCAGGACCTGGGAGTAGATTGGATCCCACTTCCGCAGCGCGTGACCTTGACCGGGCACAGAACCCCAGGCAGCCCTGGTTTTCACATCTCGTAAAACGAATGTGGGGAAGGGCGCGAGGATGGCCCCAGGAGATGGGGGGTTCAGCCGCCCCGCGCCCCGCCCGACCCTCCGCGGGGCTGGCTGCGAATACGGCATGATTGTTACGGCCGTGTAGAAACGAACCCGAGTAAGATAAACCCATCTGTACAACGGGGACTTTGAATACTTTGAACTGTACGTTAATCAGAAAGTTAAAATAACAGTACATGGAATAAGAAAGAACATACACTGTTAGGTGAGGTGTATCAAATCGTAAGCTATGTCCTAAAGATTTCTTTCTTTTTTTTTTTAATTTTATTTTTGAGACAGAGAGAGACAGAGCATGAGCGGGGGAGGGGCAGAGAGAGAAGGGAAACACAGAATCTGAAACAGGCTCCAGGCTCTGGGCTGTCAGCACAGAGCCCGACGCGGGGTTCGAACCCACGAACCGCGAGATCATGACCTGAGCTGAAGTCGGACGCTTAACCGACTGAGCCATCCAGGCGCCCCTATTTTCAAGTTTACATTGCCTTCTATTGTTTCATAAAAATGTATGCCCTGCATATACGTCTTAGAGGATAATGAAACACTTGGAGTTTGGAAACTTTGGATGCCTTTCCTGGTTACTGCTAACCTTAAAAGATAAAACTGCCAGGGGCGCCTGGGTGGCTCCGTTGGTTGGGCGTTGGAAACTTTGGCTCAGGTCACGATCTGGGGGTTCGCGGGTTCATGCCCTGCATGGGGCTCTGTGCTGACAGCTCAGAGCCTGGAGCTGCTTCGGATTCCGTGTCTCCCTCTCTCTCTGCCCCTCCCCTGCTCTGTGCTTGCTCTCTCAAGAATAAACATTAAAAAAAAACAAAAAACAAAAAAAACCCAAAACTCTGCCAGTTATCTCACCAGCAAAAACGGGTTTATTCAAGAATAGCAGAATTACGGTCCCGGACAAGCAAACTACCATGAAACCACAGGCAAAACCATGGGCAAGTCCGCTGAACAGAGGAGAGGCCGCTTTTATATAGAGGAAGTGGGAGACGGAGAGGCCGTTCTAAACAAAACGTCCACTGGAGTAAACCGGGAGTTCAAGCATGGTGGCTTTTCACTGGCTGTATTATGATAGCCTGTCACCGGCTGGGCTATTCCCTGGGGAGGAGAGAGCCTTTCTTCTTTCTCCTGGGGCAGTGAAGTAGTATCTAGCAAGTTCCTTCTTGTTGGGCTTACAGTAGATGAGGAGTGATAGGGTGTGAGAGCTACCCCTCCTGAACCTCCCAACCGCATCTAAGTAGGTTTCCCTTTATTAATCGTCAAGTTACATATGCCTCCCTCCCCCATCCCACCCCCGCTGCGATTTACGACTGTCCAGAATTCCTTGCTTTTCTTTACAGTTTGACCAAAATACATGCATATCCTTAAATGATGTTTTGTTCCGTTTGGCTTGTTTTGGTACTGGATCAAAGTAGAATCATACATATGTATTACTTTGCAGTTTTCTTCTCAGCAATTATGTTCTAGAGATTCATGCGTGTTAGTATCTGCAGCTGTGGTTTGTTCATTTTCCTATCTGTAGTCCTTAGGATGAATCATACCACGGTTTATGGATGGCGCTGTGTCTAGCGTTTTGCCCTGGAAGACAGGACAGCCCTGCCTTTGCTTGTACGTAGCGCTTCTCTTAGAGTATCTCTTAGAGTAGACACCTTGAAGCTGACCTTACTAAGTGACGCCGAGAGGTTTTTCCAAGTGATTATACCAGTTTACCCTCCCCCTTGGCAGTGTGTAACTGTCTCCCTTCTTCTGTGTTCTTGCCAATAGTCAACACATTTAATGATCGCCATTCTGGCAGTTATGAAATGGTGGTTTCCTATGGCTTTAATTTTGCATTTCCCCAATAAGGCGAACATCTCATGTGTTTACAGGTCATTTGGGTCTCCTCTTCTCTGAAATTCACATCTCTGCTTATTTCTCTGTTAGGTGTTTATTTTTGTACTGATACGTAGGTGTTCTTTGTATAGTTTGGATGCCGATCCTTTGAATACATGTGTTGGGAATCTCCCAGATTTGACTTTTCTTTTCACTCTGATTGTGAGATCTTTTGGCTGACTGAAAGTTGCCAAGTTTAATGTGCTTGAGTCTGTCGCTTTGTTTTGTATCATCTTTAAGAAACCTGTTTATACCTTCGAGGTCACAAAAATACTCTCCTGTTTTAGCGCCTGAAAATTTTGGAGCATCCGTCTCACACCTTCCTTGTTCCACCTGTACTTGATGCTGATGATGTGAGTAGGGCTCCCGCTTGGTTTTTGCTTTATGACTTACCAGATATCCCTGTTTCATTCATCGGTGAGTCCATCCTTTCTATGCTACTTTGAATGCTCACTCATCATGCATAGGTCTATCTCCATACGTTGTCTTCTACCTCTACTTTTTTTAAAGTTGTCCTTTGGAGCTTTTAAAAGGGCCAAGTGATCAGAATGGCACCTGTCCACTGTCGTATCAGTGGGGCCTCGAATAGTGTCAGGCATGTAATGTGCACCGAATGAATAAATGGCCTTAGATCATTCTCGTCAAACCTTTGCTGACGCAGAAAATCTTAGGACAGATGACCTCCGTCCTGTTTCAGCACCATTATGTAATTGGACAGCTCTGATTATTAGAATTTTTTAAAGCTTGAACCAGTTGGGGGGCCTGGGTGGCTCAGTCGATTGAGCATCTGACTTTGGCTCAGGTCATGATCTCACGGTTCATGAGTTTCAGCCCCACTTCGGGCTCTGTGCTGACAGCTCAGAGCCTGGAGCCTGCTTCAGATTCTGTCTCCCTCTCTCTCTGCCCTTCCCTGCTTCCACTCTGTCTCTCTCTCTCTCAACAATAAATAAACATTTAAAAAATTAAAAATAAAAAGAACCCCACTTCTACTTGAATGATCGATCTTTTAGTATTTTCCCTCAGCATTTTTCTTGTCTGGCCAGGTAGCCCACTTTCTTTATGTCCGCACATCATTTATCTGTATTCGTGACCCTTCACAAATTTGGTTGTGCAAAAGTTTGACTAAGAACCTTTGAAATGTGTCACCCCAAGTTGGACACCTGATTCTGCATCTGTCCTACCTGTGCAGAATCAAGCAGAGGTTTGCTCCTTGATTGGGCCACTGATATTCAGCAGGCTTTCTGGGGGCTCAGAGTTGTGGGGACACAAAAATGAATAAACTAAGAACTCGTAGTCCAATGAGCAGTAATCAGCCAGCCCTCCTGTCCTTCAAGAAGCGCCTGGAGAGGCGCCTAGGTGGCTCAGTCGGTTAAGTGACCGACTTCGGCTCAGGTCATGATCTCATGGTTCACGGGTTCGAGTACCACATCAGGCTGTGTGCTGACAGCTCAGAGACTGGAGCCTGTTTCAGATTCTGTGTCTCCCTCTCTGCTCCTTCCCGACTCATGCCCTGTCTCTCTGTCTCTCAAAAAGTGAATAAACGTTAAAAATTTAAAAAAAAAAAAAGTGCCTGGAAAAAACAAGGGCTGTGGGAATGAGCGGCAAAGACAATTGCTTTCTGTGGAGGATCAGAAAGTTTTCAGGTGTTTCTCAAGAGATACGTTGGATATGTGTAGGTACGAAAGCGCATCTACCCAAGGAATTAAGCAAAAATGGGAGATGCTGAAATGAAAATAATGTGTGGCTGAACGGAGGGGCTATGATAGAAATCAGGAGCGTAAATTGGAAAATGGCTGGAAATTTACATTTAAAGTCATATTGAGGAGACCTTAAAATGCTCACAGGTAAGTGTGGACTTAATGATGTCGGCAGAGTCGTCTCAGACTTTTGAGAAGAGGAGTGAAGAGGTCTGGGATTTGAAATCTGGCAGAGGTATGAAGAGTAGATGAAGTGTGGAGACAGCTAGATGGGTGGAGAGGTTACTCTTCAAGTCAGGTTCAAGATGATGGCCCAAACGACAGTGGAAAAAATGGCCCGATTTTTAAGTTTATTTATTTTTCAAGAGAGCGCACGCATGCACACGTGCAAGTGGTGGAGGGGCAGAGAGAGAGAGAATCCCAAGCAGACTTCACACTATCAGCTCAGAGTCCAACATGGGGCTCAAACTCACAGACTGTGAGATTACAACTGAGCTAAAACTGAGAGTTGATTCTTAACCAACTGAGCCACCCAGGTGCCCCACGAAAGCGCCCTGATTCTTGTTTTTAATTTTTTAACGTTTATTTATTTTTGAGAGACACAGCACGAGCAGGGGTAAGGCAGAGAGAGAGGGAGACACAGAATCTGAAGCAGGCTCCAGGCTCTGAGCTGTCAGCACAGAGCCTGACGCAGGGCTCAAACTCACCGACCTTGGGATCATGACCTGAGCCAAAGTCAGACACTTAACCAACTGAGCCACCCAGGCGCCCCTAAAAGTTTTCTATTTTCACGAGATCCAATTTGTCTGTTTTCTTTGTTCCCTGTGCCTTTAGTGTCATATCCAAAGAATTGTTACCAAATCCAATGTGGTAAGGCTTTTGCCCTGCGTTTTCTTCTAAGAAGTTCTATAGTTTTAGCTCTATGTCTTTGATCCATTTTGAGTTAATCTTTGTATGTGGTGTTCAGAAAGGGTCCAACTTCATTCTTTTGCATGTGGAGACCCATCCAATTTTCTCAGCACTGTTTGTTGAAAAGACTGCCCTTTCCTCATTAAATGGTCTCGGCACCCTTACCAGAAAGTCATTTAACCTTATACGTGAGACTTTGTTTCTGAAATTTC